CACAGTCAGAGGTCAGTATAACATTAAAATTAAGCACTGTGCTTAGGTATGCAATGACGGAAAAAGCCTTTAAAATGTCACTGAAGTCTTACAGATATGTTCAGAATGTATCTTTTTTCTTTTGCTATCACAAGTTAATTTCTTCAAAAGTTTTAAACTAATGTAAACATGTTTGTACTTTCAATATGTGTTGGGAATGATTTTAAGATGATTGTTTTATTTATTCAGAACATGATGTTCTGAATAAAGAACGAAATATTGAATCAAACATGGCTTTCATTAGTCTTTATGGAGTCTGCATAATATTGAGTTATCTGAATATTATCAGTGGATCACCTACTGGTATTTAGACGTAGTTAGTTGACTTCGTGTTCAAAATCATGCTTTACATTCCTCAACCATCTTAGGTGCATATGAACTGTTCATTTAAACTCTGCATTGAAAGTAAAATATTGTGAGCGTTTGTCTTTTTTTAAAATTCAGACATTGAGCTTCCAAGCTTTACACGTCCTTCTAACTTTTCCTTGCCAACGGTCAGTGGAGAATCCTTTGCCATTGTCAGACTTCCGTTGCTGACTGACGTGACTGACAACTCGGGGCAAGATGTCAATGTCACCACATCGGTGCCTGACAATAGCCAGCTGCCCATAGGAATACATGCTATTGTGTATACTGTAACTGATGTCAGTGGGAACGTGGTAACGTTTACAATCACTGTCACAGTTGTAGGTGAGTCACATGTCAAAAAATCCAGGCGGTCACTGAAACCTGACTTTGAAACACAGACTTGCAGATTGAGACCTGTGAAATAGTACTTTCCACTCTGGCCAACCAACCTGACCTATTCACATTACCATTTAACTTTTAGGTCAGCTAGAGCAATCGAATGCAGTCTGGAGCATGTTTTTCAAGACCATAACCAGAAAGATAGTTCTACGTTGGTCATTGGTTTTTGCCTGTGTGACTTCATTGGTCCAGCCAAATCAGAACTAATGATGTGGAAAACATTGATGTGGTCTGCCACCTTGCAATTTGTCCCCGTCAGATTGTGTATTCCATTTCTTCCGTTGTATTTTTTTTCATGCCTGCTTAAAATATGTTGCTGGTGGGTGTTTTGAGGTCACAAACATGTTTCTGGTCTGGAATTTGCAAAAAGTACACCCCAGCATTCATGGGCTGAACTTGTTTTTCAACTTATTGATTGGTAGGCAGGTATGAAACCAGTAATTTTATTGACAGAAATCAATGACAACAGGTTATCACAAAAACTTCGTCTGAAACCAAGTTGCTCTGGTGTCATAATTAGCGACCTCAAGTGTCGATCTTGTGCCTGCTAGCACACCTTGTCGCTCCTAATTGTTTTAGATGTTGAACTTTTGCCATGTTTAATTCAAAATTTGCTTTTAAATTTGCTTTTGCCATCTGGGTATCAATTAACCAACTAAATGCACTCATTGACGGACCAAAAATCAACCCATGACATTCCCTGCAATGTAACAAGCCAAGCCAACTTTTAAAAACTTCCAAACAAAAGGGCAATGATAACCTTTTTGGCATTTGTATGAAGTTTTTTCTGTTAGTCCGTACTTTAAGCATTATGCTAATTAACTGATCTTGAAACATTAAATCCTAACCTCCCAAGGGTTTATGTAAAACTTGTATTAATTATTCGGGACTTGCTCTGGATTTATTTTTGTTTATATTTATTGAAAAAAATGATTAAATTCATTGTTCCTTTTTTCTTGCTTTAAATAGATGAGGAAGCACCAAGATTTACACCTCCCTCTAACTTCACCATTCCAGCCATAGGCGGAGAATCTTTTGCCATAGTCAGGTTGCCGTTACCAACTAATGTGGCGGATAATTCTGGTGACGCTGTTAACATCACCACATCACCGGCTAACAACAGTATGCTAGACATAGGGCCCCATAGTATCGTCTACACTTTAACAGACTCTATGGGAAGGTTTAGCATGTTTACCATCATTGTCACAGTTGAAGGTAATCATATATGAAATTCTTTCCCCCACCAACAACCTCCCCCCCCAAAAAAAAATATGGCAGTTCTCTTTCCGGCATTTGTTCAAATTGTTTAAAAATGTAGCAAGAGTTTGATTACTTTTGTGAATGATGTCAAGAAATTTTGAAATATTTTGATAGAATATTAAAATTGTGGAATATTAATAACCACTTTTTGTTTCATTTTCAAGGAAATCTTACATTGAAACCTAGCCAGTTACATTGAAAGTGTTAAATCTACCTTTCATTTTGACCAAACATAAGGTAAATTAGGTGAACATTGAAACTATAAACAGATCCAGTTTGCCACCACTCTCTGTAAACAATTTTACTCTTGCAGCCTTTGGATGTGATACAAAATTCTGACACGTATCAGGATAGGTACCGTATACATCCTACGTAATACCCTTTAATAACCTTTCTTATGGAATCATTTTACATAGCGTGAGTTGCTCTATACAAAGCAGAAATGGAAAACTAAAACTCAACTAACTAATCATATTCAGTTAAGACTCATCTTTGGTCGGTTCAACAAAGTTTGTACAAAAAACATTGTTTTTTGAAGTAACAAAATAACTGTTTGGCTGTGAGAAACTTTGAAATTTTCTACCCGCTACCAATAAAGAAAATTGGAAATATTTTTTTAAATGCAGATTGAGCTAATTCAAGGACTGTTTAATGAGGGCTGTAATACTGAAAAGCAACAGCTGTCATAAAGGCCACGATAGTCCTCGTCCGAGGAGTTTCCTTTAATTTAAATAATGCATAGCTAAGCAACTGTTTGTGTAATCAGCCATAGATTTGTAGCACAAGGCTTATGTGTTGTGTGGAGATACACCAATCGTTGTAAAATTGGATGCAAAGATGGTCTTTGGAAATATGTAGCACCAAGGAGTTCATTCTGTACTCTGGTCTCATTTTCCTGCACTGAGTCACATCTGGAAAGTTTTAAAGTTCAGATAAAATTACTGAAACCTTTCCACCCAGATAAGGAAGACCCCTCCATTATGTGCCCTGATGACATCATTCAGGACAATGACAGAGGACAGGGTTATGCCACCATCACTGTCCCTGATCCTGCCACAGTCTCTGTGAGTGACAACTCTGAAGGGCAGCTTACAACCAGGGCCGAACTGAATGGGACACATCAGTTCAGAATTGGCAACCATACCATCATGTACAACGTCACTGATGAGAGTGGGAATTCGATGTCTTGCACTCTCAACATCACCGTTAATGGTTAGTCCCATTAGTTTTTCAACCATACATCAAGTTAATAGACTTTGGCAAGGCTGGGTATTGAAATATCAAATGCAACAAACTCTGTACAATAGCTAAAATTAGCAAAGCATTCATTCATTCTTTATTCCGGTTCAATCTAAACGAGATACTGACTAAGTAATCACATTTCCTTATGAGATGTAGTGATTAATGTTTGGATCTTCTGTGGTTCTGGTGATTTCCTGATTCTTTTTTTATCCTGGGATTTTTTAAGTTCTCTAATTTATTGACAGAATCTAAAGACTGTTCTCCAGATGGTAATTTCACTAGAAACATCTGTTTTTTCTTCTCTCCTGATTGAAAAAAAAAATGATTGATCCAGATGTGGAAAATCCGACGTTCACACGACCAGTGAATACCTCGTTCTCAGCAGGCCTTGGAGTAAGTTTTGCCATTGCCGTTTTACCACTACCCACTAACCTGATGGACAATTCTGGAGAGGTTGTGAGAGTCTCCACCACACCTGCCAATAACACCATGCTACCTATAGGGGAGCACATTATAGTCTACACAGTGAGCGACGCCTTTGGCTTGTCTGTGTCCTTCTCCATCCAAGTCATAGTTCTGGGTGAGTCCCATGCCAANCCATAGGGTCTGGGGTTTGAATCCAGCATCTGCTCATATGCTGTGACCTTGAGCAAGTCACTTTACCCTATTTGCCTCGCTCCACCCAAGAGTATAAATTTGTGTCTGCTCATAATGCTCACAGTGCCTCCGAGAGTAGAGGTGTTTTGTCATATTTGATGAGCTCTTCACACCAGCAACAAGCTTTTCATTCCCCAGGGAGCTATGAAGAATGTTTAAGAGATGAGCAGAGATAGCTAGAACCTTGAGCTGAGCACCAATGCTGGTGGACACCTGTGCTTTTATATACCTGTAATTGTTATTCAAACCCTTGCTCTCAAAAAGAAGGTTATTGAAGCTCATGTACTTTGCCTGACTGAAGTTACTGAATGTGTATGGATGGCAGCCTCAAATCTTTGTGCACTTTTCATTATACCTTTTCCACTTTCCCATCTTAACCCCTTGACGACGGGAGTTTCTTCCCAAAAGTCGACTCCAAGAATTCCAGCCTCGCTTGGCCACGAATGCCACCTGCTAAACCGCAAATTCTCGGTTTGTGGCCCTGCGTGCTCTGCACGCTTTGAATTAAACAGTGAAAAGGCTGATTGTTCGGTGGCATGCGGCTCTACTCACGCTTCCACATTCCCGTTGCCTCTTTTCAAAGTGGGGACTATTGTGTAGCTGGTGATTATGATGCAAATTCTGTCCATTCATTTCTGGGCTACACACAAAGGCCAATCACCATATATACTAGAGCCAGGGTCTGCCTTCTTTCAACGTGTTCGCTTGAACATGGGCCGAGAATAATAGCTGAAAAGCGGACCGAAGATCTCAATTTTTTACGGCGGCTCTATCTGCGTCCCGGCGCGAAGGGGTTAAAATTGTAAATTAATTTACATGATATACTTTCCACTTTCTGAGAAACTTGGGATAAAAACCTCAGGACCCTGATGAAAAAGCATTTGTTGACTAGAGTAGTCTTGACCCAAGACTGTTCTGGATCAATATTCCCATGACACATGCACGTTAACACCTCACCAATGCAATTAAACTCAACCAGCGACTGAGAATATTATCAAGAATCGGAATTGAGTCTGGGTTTGGCATATCCAGCAGATCTGTCTGAGACATTTCAAGCAAACCTCCTGCCCTGTAAATGTTGTATACAAACTGTAAGAGCACACCTGCATATTGTACGTGGCTGATAAAGCACGTACATTCAGATAGATGTATCACAAAATGTACTACTTCATCTTCTGTGTGCTTGATGCACTGTGTGAAATACATGTACAGGCTAGGAATATTTTTGGGTAGGCCTGTGGACTTCACCTAGACTTGATACCGTCTTCTATCATGACATTGACCAGGCATCTTTGCATCAAGGGAATATACTGTATCACTGCACACACTCAGGAAACCCCCACCAAAAGATGTAGTTTTATGCCAGCTTTTGTGAAGAACAACCATCTAGAAGCAGTTAATTTGTATAGTAGCTGGTAGGGAACTTACATGTGCATTGTAATGAGCCTGGCAATTTTTATGTAATAACGAACATTGTTGGAGACACCCAACATTTTTGTACAGTGTGAAATACAACTGTTTGCTTGCCCAGTGGCTAGGACTATAGGCAAAGAGTTTGGGAACATTTACCATTTGACAATAAGGTCATCTTAATCCTGGAACTTTGACATGTCAGATTTGTCTATATGTGATAGACACCAGTCTTAAAGTGTTTGGGATTTTTTTTGTTTCAGTCTCTCTGTGCTTATTAAGTAAGGCTGCAGTGATAGCCCCAGCCTTAATTTAGCAATGTCAGTGCAAGATGGTTAGTGCTCTCTGCATTCCTTCATGAATCATGCTACCGGTGCCAACCAGCCAAGAGAATTTGCCCGAAAGTCTTCTTGGCTGAATCTCTTAACTTGAAGGGATATTAACCTTAAAGTGGCATTTATGGCAAAATGTACATGGAAAGTTCCCCTCGGAAAGCACAAAATGTAACAGATTCAACACAGAAAGAAATTAGCTCTGCCATCTTGAAATAATCACATAACGTAAGACCACGTGTATACTGCCTGTCTGATCAAGAGCCTACGTTCTAGTGTTGTTCTGCAAGACGTGGCAAAATCAATGCTGCTCTTAAAAACACACATGGTGCAGCAACAGGTCTGGATTCTCCTACTTAAATTAGCATGTAAGTGCCTTTTTGCCATATTAGCCTCGATTCCTCAGAAGAGGCTTTTTTTTTTATCGTAACAGGCCTAAGTGATTCTCAGGAGTAAATGCAGGGATGTTTTTTTGAAACAGTTTTTTTTTTCAAATGAGGCATAGTTAAAGTTAGGACTACCGTAAAGGGACAAAGATTGGATCTCATTTCCTGACCACCATTCAGTTTAACCCCTCTGTTTCTTTTCTTGGCTTGTGCTATAGATGTGATTACCTCTCTAGTTTATCTGCTCTGTGGATGCTTCCATGGTCGCTGTTGATCCTGTGATTAATCTTACAAGCTGTTTTCCTTCTGCCCTCTCCTCCTATAAGCCTAACAGTTCTCTACTCTTCACCTCCATGAAATTTAGCCCAGTGCTTTAAATTAAATTTCTGATGCCTTTGTTAAAGAGATTTTGCTCAGCTTGTGTGGTCCAGCCTTAAGATCAAATCACTCAAATTTTTTTCAGATACACCATTTTGCAGTGAGTCGTTGAGTTTAGATTTTGCATCATTTAGTTTTAAAGGAGCACATTTGTTTTCTCATTTCATTTCATGTGGGGGCATGTGGCCTAGTGGTTAGTGTTTGTAGCTTCTGATCATAAGGTTGGGGGTTCGAATCCAGCTGGTGGCAGCATGTTGTGATCCTGGGCAAGTCACTTTACTCCCATGTGCCTCTCTCCACCCAGGTGTAAATGGGTACCTGTGAGGGCATATGTGGTTATGGTCAGCCATTTGCGCTAAAACGGCAGCGTCCGGTAGTATACTCCCCAGGGATCTTAGACAGTTTCAGGAATATTCAGATGTAAACCCAGTGTGCAGGGATAATGATAACAGCACCTTGATCACATTCATGGTGGATATAGTTTGCGCTTTATAAAAACTGGCCATTGTTATTCATTCACTGGAATGGAGTTTGTATGGATGAAAGGTACATGACATATTGTCACCCCAATGTCTCTTTGTTGTTCCCAGTGTGATTGCACTTGTACATAGAAGCAGGTATTACTGCAGGCCAAAAGAAGTTATGTGTTGTGTTTGGCTTCATATTGATTGTTTTGCTATGGTTTGCTTTTAAAGAATGAGGGGTGGTTAATAGTTTTGAGAAATGGACTTTTGCAAGCTGCTTTTGAAACATTAACAGTCAGCCA